TGCCCTCTGGTTCATCAGGGTGATTCACTCCTGGAGTCATCTGTTGATGGCTGAGAGGCATTGAATTTGCCACCACTGCTACAGAACTCCTGGCAACGTGGGGATCATGACTAACCCAACTCCATTCTTTTAGCTAGTGTTCTGTTTTGTTTTTGGAGAGAGAGTCCTTACATAATTCAGGTTAGCCTCAGATTCAGGTTACTTCTGGATTGAAGTCAAGGCTTCATACTTGCCAGACTAGGGTTTCCACTACTTGAGCTGTACCCAGTCATTTTGAGTTTTTTCAGACAAGATCTCATGCTTCCTCCTAGAGCTATCCCCAGACAGACATCCTCTTATCTGTGACTCCCAAGTAGCTGGAATTACAGGCATGAATCACCATGCCCTCTACTTTATACTTTTAGGTTTTTTTTGGGTCCAGTCGTGGGGCCTGAACTCTGGGCCTGGGCGCTGTCCCTCAGCTCTTCAGCTCAAGGCGAGCGCTCTACCACTTGAGCCACAGCGCCACTTCTGGCTTTTTTCTTTTTGCTTATGTGGTGCTGAGGAATTGAACCCAGGGCCTCAGGCATGCAAGGCAAGTGCTGTACGACTGAGCCACCTTCCCAGCCCCCATCTACTTTGTACTTTTATATCCTTGGTCCTGTGATATAGATAGTACAATCCTAACTCAAGAAAAAAAAAAAGGCACAAATGAAAATCTCATTTTCCCTTATTTTATATTTACTGATTGGACATGGATAAAATCAGATTTTTAGCCTTTATTCTTTTTTTTTGGGGGGGGGAGATTCTGGGGCCTAAATTCTGGGCCTGGACACTGTTCCTCAGCTTTTCAGCTCAAGGCTAGTGCTCTACCACTTGAGGCACAGTGCCACTTCTGGCATTTTCTGCTTATGTGGTGCTGACTAATCGAACCCAGGGCCTCACGCATGCAAGGCAGGCACTCTACCACTGAGCCACCTTCCCAGCCCTCTTTATTCTTTCTTTAATTACAGAGTTTGTATCATTTACTTGTTCTATAGTGTCTGGCCTGTACGTACTAAACAAATTTGAGGACCACACTAGCCTTCATCAGTGCTGTAGATCTCTCTGTCCTCATCTAGGAAGTAAATGAACTTGGATTGCCTTCTAGTTCTAGAAGACGTTTCCGTGCAAACTAAGATGCTTCCAAGAGCCCTATAATTATTCCTAAGATGCCAGCCAAGACAAGGCAATATGGAGTCAGATCATTCCAACTTAATATTCTAAACAAAGTCACAGATTTTAAAATAACCTTTGCTGGGCGCCATTGGCTCATGCCTGTAATCCTGTTTACACAGGAGCCTGAGATCAGAGAATAACAGTTCAAAGCCAGCCTATCTCCAATAAACTACTCAGAAAAAGCCAGAAGTGGTACTGTGGCTCAAGTGGTAGAGCACTAACATTGAACACAGAGAGGCTCAGGGACAGAACAGAGCCCAGGCACTGAGTTCAAGCCCCAGGACCAACAAATAAACTTTTAATCTCAGTATCTTATTTTTCTTTTATTAGCAAGGGACTATCCCCTTCCTCTACATAATTTTGATTCATTCATTCACTTCCCAAATCCCTTTTAAGGATCTGGTATGTGCTAGACACAGTAGAATAAGTTGACAATGACAAAAACACTGATTATCATTAAAGGCCAAGAATAAATGCGTGTACCTCTCTCCTGTCAGACTAAATTAAATAACTATATAGTTATCTATATATAGTTACATATAGTTATATATGCATATAAATATATATAGAAAGACACAATATAGGCCATTTTCAACCACAAAAAAATAATAGAACTTTGAAAACAGTAAACTCAGGTTATTACAAATAGGTAGGATCCAAAGAATCTGACAGCCCTGGGTTGGTTTAGTCTTCAAGGAAGCATTTACCCAGATGGTAATAAATGTACAAGAATTATGTAAACAAGAGGAAATGCTTACATATAAAGGAAAATAGGAAGCCAGAGAAGGATGGGAGAGCCATTAGACCTCAATGGGAAGGAAAGAATAGGGATGTGTCCCAACTTCCTTGCAATGAAGGGAAGTCTATAGAGAATTTGTAATTCACTTCTAATTCCTGATAAGTCCCTTTGTCCACAAAGAAGTCTCTTTCTCCTGCTTAACTCAGCTGACCCTAGCTAAGGTAGGAACCAGGCAGAAAAGGGATTTCTAAACAGCAGCCGGAACCCTGCTTGGATTACTACTCAGCTAATACTCAAGAGGTGTATTTTCATGTCTGCTACACTGGTGGAGCAAAAATGCCAAGTATTTGGCCTACCTGGTTACAGATTTGGCCCACACTTGTTCTAGACTTGTTCTAGATTTCCCAAGCACATTTCCTGTGCTTCCTCGCTGAAACCCTTCAGTAGATGAACATCTAGAATCACACCCCAAGTGTCTAAAACCTAAGGTCAGATGATGTGTGGAAATAGATCAATTGGCTTGCTTTATTCAGACCTAATTCTCCAGGAGACACTGAAGAAACTCAGAAAAAAAAATCTAGATGTGAGAATTGGGCTAGACAGGTAAATGGTTAGAAATTTTCTTCTGTGGGAAGGACAGTGTTGCTATTATTTAAAAACCCAAGTCAGGTGCTGCTGACCTATAATCCTAGCTACCCAGGAGTAGGTTTAAAGCCAGCCTAGGCAGGAAAGTCCATGAGACTCTTGAATTTATCAGCAAAAAGCCAGAAGTAGAACTGTGGCTCAAGTGACAGTGTGCCAGAAAGTTAAGCAAGAGCACCAAGATTATGAGTTCAAGCTTCTGCATTGGCACACAAAGATTAAAATTAAAGCCCAATCAGTATAAAGTGGTCATGGTAACATGCCTATAATCCCATGTAATGTAATCCCATAGAAGTGGAGGAAGACTTAGTTTGAGGGCAGTCTGGCCTACATTGCAAGATTCCTGTTTAAAAACAAAATAAAAGAAAAACAGAAATAAAACCAAGTATCCACAAAAGACCCACTATATGTTAGAATTGTGCCCTTGAAGAAAACAGGATGATCCTGAGCTAACTCCCTGGAGTTGAGGAGAGAGGGACTGATAAGTTCTTCAGCATATTCTAAACACTCTTATGTTTCCTTCTCATATTTGGAAAGATTCTTAATTTAACAACCAGAAATTAGGCAGTTTGTTCAAGTGCTAGGTTGGATCTAGAGAGCAAGGAATTTTTAAAAACTTCAATTGTGCATATATTTAATTCACATAATATGAAATTTCAAAGGCATGAAAAAATAGAGGGAAAAATTTCCTTCTTAGCCAGTCTTGCAGCCAACTTAGTTTCTCTCCCCAAAGAAACAAATGTAGGGACTGGGAAGGTGGCTCAGTGGTAGAGTGCTTGCCTTGCATGCATGAGGTCCTGGGTCCAATTCCTCAGCACCACATTAAACAGAAAAAGCCAGAAGTGGCACTGTGGCTTAAGTGGTAGAGTGCTAACCTTGAACTGAAGAGCTGAGGGACAAAAGAAAGAAAGGGAGGAATGAAAGGAAGGAAGAAAAGAATCAAAAGCTGTGCATGAAGTGGACAGACCCCCGGGACAAAGTCACAAATGCTGAACAGTATCTTGAAAAGCTGGAGTTTATTGGATTGACTGGTGGGGCTAACTCAACTAGGGAGTGAGCAGCCTCAAACTCAAATAGCTCAGGGTTTGTAAAGGCAAAAAATGCATTCTTTTAGAGCATATGCAAGCAAGCTGGTGTACAGAAGCAGAACTCAGCAGTTATTTTGCAAGCACGTAAATCACATTCCTGAAACAATTAAAACCATAAATACCCCTCTAACAATTTCTTGACCTAAAGCAACGGGCAATTCCTGGTTTTGGGGCTAGGTGTTTTGCTTTTTCAAAACTAGTAATTACAGTAGAGGCGGCTGCCAGGGGCAAATGGGCCAGTTACAGTAGAAGGGGCAACCAGGGGGTAAATAGGCCTTGTCCTTTCCTCAGTATTAGGTGCTCCAGTTCAATCCTGCCTTGCAAGTTTGGCCATATTCTTAAAAATAAATTATTTTGTTCTGGTTCTAATTTCACATTTTATATTCTTTTGGGGGGGGTCATCACGTGCAGAAGCTGGGCACTTGGTGGCTCTTGCCTGTAATCCTAGCTACTCTGGAGACTGAGATCTGGGGATCACGGTTTGAAGACAACTCCCAGTTGGAAAGTCTAATCTCCAACACTGGTTAGTGATAGAGCGCTAGTCTTGAGCACAAAACTCAGTGCCCAGGCCCTAAGTTCAAGCCCGAGGACCGGCACACATACATGGGGGGGAAAAAGTCCACAGAGGGAAAGTGTATAATAATTACAGTCAGTTTGGACAGTCCTGAAGCTGAGCCAAGGAACATCTTTCCCTTCTCAGCCATCAAGTGTCAAAAATCCCTCAACATCCTTAGCACCAATGATATGGTGGAAAAGTCGAGGAGGACGGTGGAGGTAAGGCCTGCTGGGACTTCTCTAAGAAGATCCTTTGCAATCTCCCCCATCAGGGCCAACTTCTGTAGCTCCTAGTTCTTCCCACTTAAGTGTCTCGGAGTGAAGGAAGTTAAAATCACCTGCGGAGATTGATGATAGGCCCATTATGATGCACAGAACGTGAGGCCTCGGAGGGTTCTTGCCACAACTGAGGGCAGCCTTTGAGAACCCCAGGGTAAGTCTGAGGCCTCCAGGGGTTTTCTCAATGTGACAGGCACCTCGCAGGTGAAGCCCCAGCCTGCTAGACGCTCCTGAGGTCCGAGCCTCTGCATCCCGAACCTGGAAAGCCTCCCACTTGGCCCGCCCGTGAGCCAAGCTCGGCCAATCCCAGAGCTGGAGAACTGTACAGGCCCCGCCTCCAGGCTTGTGCCACGCCCACCTATTTATTTCCGGCGTTCTCCGGCTCCTGGGTTACTCGCGGGTCACGTGACACTCACTCTTCACGTGACACGTAAAACTGGGAAGGGGCTGGTCCTAGAGCTGCATTACGTCATCACGTCGCGCGGCCGTGGAGACCAGAGCCCGGACGACCACCGTGAAGGCTCCAGAGCCTCGGGGTCGGGGCTGCCGCGGCGCTCCGGCTCCTCCTGAGCCGCCGGCTGGCCGCGCGCCCCGCCCGGCCCCATCCCTTCCCAACGGCAGGGGACGGGCCTGTGCGGCCGGAGCGGCCGGGACTGGAGGTGAGTTGCGCGGAGGAGACGGCCGACAGTCCTTCCTACCACTCAGCTCTGAGGTGTGGCCTTTCCCATCCCCGCTCTGCCTCTCTGGAGAGGAGGCTGGGGTCGCCGGGCCTCGAGCGCCCTCCCCTCCCCAGCCTCCTCTGAACTGCACCCTGCGCCACCTCCACCTGGCCATGCCAGGCGTAAGCCTGGTGGTGTCTGGGGAGGAGACCTCGTACCTTGCCCCCTCTCCTGCTCCGACTCTCCCGTGGTGGAACCCCTCCATTCAGATGGAGATGGGAGTTGTAGATAGATCTTTTCTGAAAGCTGAGGACGACGGACGCGCTGGGACCATGCTTGCTGAGGCAGAGATCCCTAAGAACAGGAGCTACTGTATACGAAGGACTGTCGGCTTTGACAAATCGTGAAGCCCAGCCACACAGGCTGGCTGGACATCTGTTCGGACTTTGTTCTTTCTGCTTCTTCCTCCGGTACCCCCCGCTTTTTTTTTTTTTTTTGCCGGTCCTGGGGCTTGAACTCAGGGCCTGGGTGCTGCTTCTGAGCTGTCTTGCCCAAGGCTATCGCTATACCACATAGAGTCACAGCTCCATTTTTGGCTTTTGTTTTTGTAGTTAGTTGGAGATCAGAGTCTGACAGACTTTTCTACCCAGGCTGGATTCGAACCAAGATCCTCAGATTTCAGCTTCTGGAGTAGCTAGGGTTACAGGTGCTAGCCGCTGATAACCCCTCCTCCTCTTCCTCCTCCTCCTCCTCCTCCTCCTCTTCTTCCTTCTCCTTTCTTCTTCTTTCTTCTTCCTCCTCCTCCTCTTCCTCCTCCTCCTCCTCCTCCTCCCCCCTTCTTTCTTTCTTTCTTTCTTGTTACTTGAAACAGGCAGGCCACTCTGTTTTCCTTTTAGCAAAAGCCAAAGAGCAGCATAATTCAGAGTATCCATATTCAGACATTTCTTGTCATTTCCAGAGCTGAAAGTAAGGAAGGTGGACTTAAGTTGACCTAAGAAAATATTTGATATCAACACAGTATATTTGAAGAGTTGCCTCCTTTTCAAATGTAAGATAGGTCTACAGAGTTGTTGGAGGCAGTGTCTAAAATGTAGAATGTGATAAGTATAAACAGAAGTAGATGAGAATTTAGGACCTTGTTTTTTTTCCTATTCAAATATTGTGATTCTACCAGCCATTGGTGGCTCATATCTGTAATCCTAGTTACTTAGGAAGCTGAGTGGGAATTTGGAGGTAGCCAGGGCAAGGAATTCTATGAAACGTTTTCTTCAATGAAGCACCAAAAAGCTGGAGGTGAAGCTGTGACTACAGCACTAGCCTTGGGCCAAAAAGCTAAGAGATAGCACCCAGGCCCTGAGTTTAAACCTCAGTACTGGCACACAAAAACCAAAACACAAAAACCCTGTAATTGTGAGTTGTGGACTTTTGAAGTCCATGGCTTCATTTTTACTATCTTTGTTTCCTTTTTTGGGTGTGGGGGAAGGGGCTCATTTCAGGAAGTTTTGGATTCCAAGGAAAAGACTGTCTTCCTAACCACCTTCATTTCTTTCTCCAGAATTCCAGAGGCAAAAAGAAAAAAAAAAGATTAAAAAAAAAAACTGTGACTAAAGTCTGTGGACACTTCAGAAACTACTTACATTGATTTTCAAGTATGTAATTTATTAGTGAAATCATTTAATTGGCTTGTACAAGTGAACTTGCAATCACAGTGATGCCTTGGTATCCAAAGGAAATTGGTTTTAGGAACCTCGTAGATACCAAAATTTGAAGATACTGAAGTCCTTAATATATAATTGCGCATATAGTATTTGCATAAAACCTATGCACATTCTCTGGGATGTTTTATATTATTTATATTCCTGATATATCTCAATTGTTAAATAAATGGTTCTTATACTATATTGTTAAGGGAATATATATATATATATATATATTTTTTTTTTTTTTTTTGGTTGGTTGTGGGGCTTGAACTCTGGGCCTGGGCGCTGACCCTCAGCTCTTCAGCTCAAGGCGAGCGCTCTACCACTTGAGTTACAGCATCACTTCCGGTTTTCTGGTGGTTATTGGAGTCTCACAGTCTTTCCTGCCCGGGCTGGCTTTGAACCGCGATCCTCAGATCTCAGCCTCCTGACTAGCTAGGATTACAAGCGTGAGCCACCAGCACCCGGCTTGTTAAGGGAATATTAACAAGAAAAACTCATATGTGTTCAACACTTACGAAACCTTATTTTTTGAGTATCTTGGATCTTTAGCAGTACTGTAGTAATTCAGAGAATGAAGAGATGACTTTTATTTGGACTTGGTAGACTATATCGTGATGATGCCAGAGCTAGGAGTGTTCTCTACTTGTGAATGTATGGGTCTGAGGAAGCCTTTTCTTAGTTCTTTAATTTGTAAAACTAGCTCATATTCATTTCCCCTATTTATTCAAATATGTTCTTTATTTTTTTTTCTCTTGGTTGCTTTATCCAAGGATCCTTTGTTCTTTCTCAGTATTACTTGATGGGAGGCATTATGGCCCCCAAAGACATAATGACAAATACTCATGCTAAATCCATCCTCAACTCAATGAACTCCCTCAGGAAGAGCAATACCCTCTGTGATGTGACCTTGAGAGTAGAGCAGAAAGACTTTCCTGCCCATCGGATTGTGCTGGCTGCCTGTAGTGATTACTTCTGTGCCATGTTCACTAGTGAGGTAAGTAATATATTGTCTCCACATAAATGATAACCAAGTATATATAAAGTTGTCTTTTTTTTCTTCTTTTTTTCTATACTAGTTCTTGGCTTGAACCTAGATGCTGTCCCTTAGCTTTTTGCTCAAGGCTGGCACCACTTGAGCCACAGTTCTACTTCTGCCTTTTGGTGGCTAATTGGAGATAGGAGTCTCATAGACTTTCCTGTTTGAGCTGGCTTTGAATCATAATCCTGAGATCCCAACCTCCAGAGTAGCTAGGATTACAGATAAAAGCTATTGCCCTCCAATGTATTTATCTCATTTTTGTAAAGAAAATAACAGATGTTTGAGATAGCTAATGTTTTAGTGGTACCAGAGTTTGAAATCAGGGCCCTAATCTTGCTAGACAAGTTTTCTACCACTTGAGCCATATCTCTCTCTTTCTCTTTCTCTCTATTTTTTCTCTGTTATTGAGGTAGGATCTCAAGTTTTTGTTTAGAGCTGCTCTCAGACCTTGATTCTCCTATGTATGAGTCCCATGTTCTGTGATCACAGATGTAAGCCACTCTCAGGACTTTCCTCTGTCTTGAACTTTGATCTTCCTAATCTTTGCCTTCTGAATAACTTGGATAACAGAGTGATCCACTGAGTCCAACTGAGTTAGTGAATTTTTTTAAAAATTTGTCAGTCATGGAGATAAGAGTCATTGGAGATAAGAGTCTCACATAGTCGGGCAAGGTGGCTCACGCCTGTAAGTAATCCCCAGCAGAAAAGTTCCTGAGACTCTTATCTCCAATAAACCACCAAAAAACCTGAAGTGACTCTGTGGCTGAAGTGGTAGAGCGCTAGCCTTGAGCTGAATTGCTGAGGGACAACGCCCAGGCCCAGAGTTCAAGCCGTACAACTGACAAAAAGAAAAAAAAAATCTCATGAACTTTCCTGCCTGGGCTGTCTTTGAACCATGATCCTCAGATCTTAGCCTCCTGAATAGCTAGGATTACAGGTGTGAGTCACTGGTGCCCGGCAGAGTTAGTGAATTTTTATTTTTATTTTTGCCTATCCTGGGGCTTAAACTCAGGGCCTGGGTGCTGTCCCTGAGCCTTTTGTGCTCAAGCCTAGCATTATATCACTTGAGCCACAGTGCCATTTCCAGTTTTTTCTGAGTAGTTTATTGGAGATAAGAGTCTCATAGACTATACTGTCTGGACTGGCTTCAAACTGCAGTCCTTAGATTTCAGCTAGGATTTTAGGCATGTGTCACTGGCACCCAGCCTGCTATTTGTTTTGATAAATCGTTTAGTTGTTCAGAAGAGTTACCCCCTGAGTATACCCTCAGTTTGTTTGTGTATAAATGCATAGAGCCCTGTTTTGTTATCACCCATTAGTATATGTGTATTAAATAGATTGTTTAAGATATGCATTGATTCCTCCTAGAACAGTTCTAGCTTTTAGTAAGCACACAAAAGTATTGGATTTTATTATTACTATTATTTATTATTATTTTTGGAGGGGTCCATTGTGGGGCTTGGGCTCTATCCCTGTGCTCTTCAGCTCAAGGCGAGTGCTCTACTCCTGGTTTTCTAGTGATTTATTGGACATAAGAGACCACAGACTTTCCTGCCTGGGCTGGCTTTGAACTGCGATCCTCAGATCTCAGCCTCCTGAGTAGCTAGGATTTCACAGGCATGAGGCACCGGTGCCTGGCTTTATTTTATTTTTACCAGTCCTGGGTCTTGAACTCAGGGCCTAGACACCTTCCCTGAGCTTCTTTGGCTCACGGCTAACACTCTACCACCTGAGCCACAGCGCCACTTCTGGCTTTTTCCATTTATGTGGTACTGAGGAATTGAACCCAGTGCTTCATGCATGCAAGGGAAGCACTCTACCACTAAGCCATATTCCTAATCCTATTTATTTATTTATTTTTTATTGTGAAAATACTGTACAGAGGGGTTACAATTACATGGGCAAGATAATGAGTACATTTCTTATCAAGCATTGTAGCCTCCTCCTTTGTTTCCCCTTCCCATCCTCCCCCTGCCCCCCTATTTATTATTTAAAAAATTTATCCTTTTCTCCTAATATTTAAAAGTTTAAAGTGAATGTTAGGGAGATAGGAAGGAAAGAAAAATAAGAGTGAGCTGGGTGCTGGTTGCTCATGCCTTTAATTCTACCTAGTCAGTATGCTGAGATCTAAGGATTGCAGTTTGAAGCCACTTCTGGAAGAGAAGTCTCCATGACACTCATCTCCAATTAACTACTCAAACACTGGAAGTGGCATTGTGGCTCAAGTGGTAGAGTGCTAACCTTGAGCAAAAGAGCTCAGGGACAGTGCCCAGGCCCTGAGTTCAAGTCCCATGACCAATTAAAAAAAATATACACACACACATACACACACACACACACACACACACACACGGAGAGAAAGAGAGAGGAGAGGAGAAGGGGGGAGAGAGAGAGCACACACGAATGCCAGGTACCAGTGACTCTTGTCTGTAATCCTATAATCCTAGCTACTCAGGAGGCTGAGATGTGAGGATCATGGGTTGAAGCCAGCCTTGGCCTGAAAGTCTGTAAGACTCTTATCTCCAATTAATTACCAAAGAAAAAATGCCAGAAATGGAATTGTAGACCAAGTGGTAAAAAAAACACTAGTCTTGAGCAAAAAAACTCAGGGACTTCACCAATCTTCACTACTCAAGAGGCTAAGATCTGAGGAACATGCTTCAAAGCCAGCATGAACAGAAAAGTCAGTGAAACTCATCCCTCATCAACCACCACAAAGCTGGGATGGAGCTGTGCCTCAAGTGGATGAGTGTCAGCTTTGAGCAAAAATACTAAGGGCCAGCACCCAGGCCAGTACTGGCATGAAATAAAGAACCAGTATAAAAGAGGAGTGGCTCTATGGATCAGCTGAGTGCCTGCCTAGGAAACGTGAAGGCCCTGAATTCAAACACCAGTACCACCAAGACCATGAAGACTTCTGGTCTGGGGCTCTGAACTACACTGTAGCATTAATTGTCGTTTAGATAGTGTCTTCTGTTTTCTCCTGCTGGCTTTGTACTGGGATCCTCCTACTCATGCCTCCCAGGCAGCTGAGATTACAAGTACACATCACTACACCCAACTTACTTGCTGGTGTCATACAAAATGTTTGCCTAGGCTGGCTTTGAGCTTCCATCCTCACGATTTTTCCTCTCCCAAGTAGCTGGGACTATAGGCATGAGCCATTATGCCCTGCCATGACTTTTTTTTGTTGGTCATGTCATGGGGCCTGAACTCTGGGGCCTGGGCACTATCCTTTAGCTCTTCAGCTCAAGGCTAGCACTCTACCACTTGAATGCTAAGGAATCGAACCCAGGGCCTCATGCATGCAAGACAAGTACTCTACCACTGAGCCACCTTCCCAGCCCCACTGCCATGACTTTTTAAAAAAGTCTTTCTGGTCACCAGTATTTTCTTTAGTTAGTCCTCATCACTTTAGAATGAGATGAATAGGAGAGGTAGTATGATAATAATGATAAGAACCACTTTATGGGCAAAGGACTATGCTTTGTCTTGGTCATGTATATCTCATTAGACCATTTTATAAACAAAGGAAGGCTGGCCACAGGTGGCTCATGCCTGTAATCCTAACTGCTTATGAGGCTGAGATTTGATGATTGCAGTTCAGAGCCAGACCAAGCAGGAAAGTCTTTGAGACTCTTTCACCAATTAACCACCAGAAAACCAGAAGTGGTGCTGTGGCTCAAAGTGGTAGAGCACTAGCCTTGAGTGAAAAAGCTGAGGCCTTGAGTTCAAGCCCCACTACCACCAAAAAAAAAAAGGAAGAAAAAGAAGGAGCAAGTTCTCATTAAATGACTTGCCCAGAGTCCCAGGACTTGTCAGTGGCATAACTAGGCTATAATCCTGCATTTTCTGTCCATAAAGCCCAGTTTGTTTGTTTTTTAACTCCTGTGCCTCCTCATTCTCATGGGTTTTACATTCTACAGTGTAATTTTGAAGCTAGTATAAATTTATAACACTGTGAGCAATGCTGTCACATGACTGGTAAAAATGTCTTAGAAATCTGCCAGGTCAAGCTAACTAATCCAAGCTAATTTAAAAACCATCTGTATAAAATAACATACAGATCTCTAATCTTCCTGAGAGTACAGGCAGCAGTTTGCTTAACTAAGGAAAATGTCAACCAGCAGCTGCCAAGCATGAAATGGGCCCGGACTGCTGATTGCTAATTACTTATTGTGCATCCTGACTTTTGTCATGTTAGCATAAACGAGAAAATTTGTCTGTCTGCACTGTTTGTTTTCCCCATTCAGAAATTAGTGTGTTTTGTACGAGTTCTTTTTCTCTTGTCAGCAGTTATTTCATTCTTTTTGTTTTTAACTTGCTGTATTGTTCCTGTAGAGGGGATATACAGAGGGGTTACATTTACATGCATCAAGTAATAAGTACATTTCCTTTTTTTGTTGTTGTTGTTGGTCATGGGGCCTGAACTCTGGGCCGGGGCGCTGTCCCTCAGCTCTTCAGCTCAAGGCTAGCGCTCTACCACTTAAAACACAGCGCCACTTCTGGCTTTTTCTGTTTATGTGGTGCTGAGGAATCGAACCCAGGGCCTCGTGCATGCAAGGCAAGCACTCTACCACTGAGCTACCTTCCGAGCCCATACATTTCCTTTTGTATAGTCATCTGTTCCCTCATTCCCGCCATTCTGTCTCCACCCATCAGTTGTATAGTTCACTTTGATCAATGTTTAGTGTACTCTGCTGTTGTACTTTTTCACCCTTTTTTTTTTCCATTGGACCAGCTGGGTGCCAGTGGCTCATGCCTGTAATCCTAGCTACTCAGGAGGCTGAGATCTGAAGATCATGGTTCAAAGCAAACCCGGTCAGGATAGTCCATGAGACTCTTATCTCCAATAAACTACTCAGAAAAGGTCAGAAGTGGTGCTGTGGCTCAAGTGGTAGAGCGCAAGCCTTGAACACAAACACTTGAGCACAAAGAGGCTCAGGGTCAGCACCCAGGTCCTGAGATCAAGCCCGGGATCAGCCAAAAAACAAAACCAAAAAGTGATACTAAAGGAGTCAGACATGGTGGCACTTGGCTGTAAACCGAACTCTGGAGACTGAGGCCGAAGGACTGTGAATTCCAGATTGGTGAAATCAGAGGACTGAGGCCAGAAGATCTGGGATTTGTCTGTCTCTTACTATTTAAGTGAGCCTGATGAAATCACATAACTTCTTTGAACCTTCAGTTTTTTAAATAGCACTAGTATCAGAACACACTACCATACCAGCTTGCTGTGAGAACCAGATGAAATCTTAGAAGCATGTTGACAAATTATAAAGCAAAATGTAAATGTGAAATGTTTTGAGTTCATATGTGAGTGAAATAATTTTCATATTCAAATTATATGACAAGTTGGGCACTGTAACTCTAGCTACTCAGGAGACTGAGATCTGGTGACCATGGTTCAAAATCATCATGGGCTCCAGGAAAGTCCATAAGAAGCATTTCTCTAGTTAACTACCAAAAATCTTGGAAGTGGAGCTGTGGTTCAAAGTGGTAGGTACTATCCTTGAGCAAAAAAGCTCAGGGATAGATCCCAAGCCTTGAGTTCAAGCCCCATCACTGACTGAAAAGAAAAAAATCAAACTATTTGACCAAGAGACCCATAGCTTATTTGTTTAATGAGAAACTTGTGGAGTAATATACTTATGTGCTGTATCATTAGTATTTAATCTATGCTACATTTTAGGGTAGTAATTATTTGTAAAATGTGTATGTGTTAAATGTCAATAAATCTCACCTGTTTTTTCCAAAAGAATATGCTGCTGGATTTTGTTTGCTTTGTTGTGTTTTGTTTTGGCCTGGGTGCTGTCCCTGAGCTTTTTGGCTTGAGGTTAACATTCTATCAATTGAACCACAGCTCTACTTCTAGCTTTTTGGTGGTTAACTGGAGATGAGTCTCACAGACTTTCCTTCTCAGGCTGGCTTTGAACTCTGGTCCTCAGATCTCAACTTCCTGAGCAGCTGAGATTACCGATGTATGCCACTGATGGCTGGCCTGCTACTGTTTTTTGTTTGTTTGCTTGTTTGTTTTTTTGTCATAGGGCTTGAACTCTGGGCCTGGACGCTGTCCCTCAGCTCTTCAGCTTAAGGCTAACATTCTACCACTTGAGCCACAGCACCACTTCCGGCTCTTTCTGTTTATGTGGTGCTGAGGAATCGAACCCAGGGCCTCATGCATGTGAAGCAAGCACTCTACCACTAAGCCACCTTCCCAGCACAGCTACTGTTAATTTTTTACTGTCAGAGATTAATTTTCATTTTAGTTTTGTTTTGCTTTTGTTTTGTTTTGTTTTTGTCTGTTCTAGGGCTTGAATTCAGGGCTTAGGTGCTATCTCTGAGCTTTTGTGCTCAAAGCTACTGCTCTACCACTTTGAACCTTAGCCCATAGCAGCACTTCTGGTTTTCTGGTGGTTATTTGGAGATGAGTCTCATGGAGGAAGTGGTGCTGTGGCTCAAACTGGTAGAACACTAGCCTTAATTTAAAAATCTCAAGGCCTGGTCCAGGCCCAGAGTTCAAGCCCTATGATTGACCCAAAAAACAAAGAGTCTCATGGCCTTTCCTGCCCAGCCAGGCTGTCTTCGAACCACAATCCTCAGATCGCAGCTAGGATTATAGGCATGAGCTACTGGTACCCAGCTAGAGGATGCTTTTTGAGGTCTGGAAGTATAGCTCAGGGGAAGGTCCTGGGTTGAATCCCCAAGTTAAAAATTTTTTTTTCTTTATTACACTCTGGGCTAATGGAGAAATTGAAGATGACAAATATACTATAGTTTTGTAATACATTTTTTTTAAAGTAATATGGTGTTTTGTTTTTTTTTTGGGGGGGTCCATTCGTGGGGCCTGAACTCTGGGCCTGGGCACTATCCCTCAGCTCTTCAGCTCAAGGCTAGCACTCTACCAATTGAGCCACAGCGCCACTTCTGGGTTTTTTCTTTTTGCTTATGTGGTGCTGAGGAATCGAACCCAGGGCCTCATGCATGCAAGGTAAATGCTCTACCACTGAGCCACCTTCCCAGCCCCATAATACAAATTTTTAAACTAAGATTAAAATGTAAAATTTCAGTGTTAACCAACTTTCAGGTAAGTTTTACTGGCCTGTAAAAATTTTAGCTCTTAGCAGTGTTGATGAATGTTTCACCTCATCATTATTCATTGCTTTGAGGAGCTATTCTAGATTAAATACACCACTGATTATTCAGTAATCTCACCATAGAGTCCCCCAGTATTTTGTAATTTAAGGTGTATGTGTTTGTATTAGAGGATAGAACTCAGAGCATTGTATATGCTAGGTAAGTATTCTACTACAGATCTGTGTCCCTAGTGACCTAATGTTTTGACAACCTGTCAAGGAGCTCAGGTGTATTCAGACTGTTTTAGAAGAGAGCCCCTTACAGTGGTGTTCATGTTCCTTTCGGTGATACCAAATGTAGTCTGGGAGTGGATTACAAGACCTTGATAGTCTTGGAGGATGCGGAACTATGACCTGAGTGTTCTGTAAGCAAAGAATGTCGTTGAAAATTTGTATTTTGTCTTAAAAGCTCATGGATACTTCTTGGAACTTTTGTGTTCTGTAATACATTTATTTTTTTAATAAGGAATTGAGTTTTAAATTATTCACCAGTAAAATTGATATTTTTACTTCTGTTTATTGCTGGGGATATGGACCACTGCCTTCTCCATTTGAAAAGCTACAAGCATAGCTGGATGCTAGTAGATCATGCCTATAATCCTAGCTATTCAGGAAGCTGAGATCTGAAGATTATAGTTCAAAGCCAGCCTGGGCAAAGTCCATGAAATTCTTATCTCCAGTTGAAAAAAGCTGCAAGTAGGGTAGTGGGTCAAGTGGTAGAGCACCAGCCTCGAATGAAAAAGCTTAAGTGATGTCACACAGGCCTTCAATTCAAATCCCAGTATCAAAAAATACACAAAAGGTACATATGTATACTATATTTGCTTTGTACAAATTAAATGAAATAGATGATAACTTTATACCTATGAACTTTCAGCTTTCAGAGAAAGGGAAGCCTTATGTTGATATCCAAGGCTTAACAGCCTCCACCATGGAAATCCTGTTGGACTTTGTGTACACAGAAACGGTTCATGTGACAGTGGAGAACGTACAGGAGCTGCTCCCTGCAGCCTGTCTGCTGCAGCTGAAAGGTACGCATGTATGCACATGAGAAGTTGCTGTTACTCTACCACATGTTGCAAACTGGTGTAATGTTAATCATGAGATTTATGGAAACCAGACTACAGGTCCTCATGTTTACTGACCATAGTTTTTGAATTTTTGAGCAGTGAAATATCAGATGCCAATAACAGCACAGAGGAACTTCTCCAGATGTGAAAGAGAGCATTCACCCTTCTATTTTTTAAAGAAATCAAGAGTGAAAGATACATGCATTTTCTTTTTTTGGGGGGTCCGGTCGTGGGGCCTGAACTCTGGGCCTGGGTGCTGTCCCTCAACTCTTTAGCTCAAGGCTAGTGCTCTACCACTTGAGCCACAGCGCCACTTCTGGCTTTTTTTCTTTTTGCTTATGTGGTATTAGGGAATCGAACCCGGGGCCTCAGGCATGCAAGGCAAGCGCTCTACCACTGAGCCACCTTCCCAGCCGATACATGCATTTTCTTACATGTATGTATACAGTATCCTGAAAGGAAATCTGAGAAACTAATAGTATTTATTGCCTATATGGATACTTTTGTTGTTGTTGTTGTTGGTCGTGGGGCTTGAACTCTGGGCCTGGGCACTGTCCCTCAGCTCTTCAGCTCAAGGCGAGCGCTCTACCACTTGAGCTACAGCGCCACT